GAAGATAAACTCACCCACCCACTCCCATCCTCAGCAATGGCATTCTGAGCACGCCTTGCCTTGATTTCCTCCAACCTCCTCATTCTCTTAACTTCAATGTCCTCATCAACCACAGGCCTTTCGTCTGTGACAAAACAGAAAAAAAAAAAAAAAAAAAAAAGAAAAGAAAGAATCATATCAGTGTCAAAAGCTACTCTTTCAGAGAGGTGCACCAAGGAAATTAAGAGAGAGAGAGAGAGAGAGAGGTAAGTCACTACCAGCTGAATCATTTTCATTCTCTTCCTCTAGGGGATCAACCTGCTTCTGCCAAACTGGATCTTCATCCACAACTAAAACACCAGTGGGTTCGGGTTTGGAGGGCTTCTTAATCTTCTTCTTCTTTTTCTTTTCTAACACGTCACTACTTTCATACTTTTTCAAGTAATCTTTCAAGGATTTGACCCCTGTTCTTGGAGCAGCCATCTTCCAGAACCCAAAGCCTAGTAAACCAATAAATAAACGTGGAATAAAAATTTAGGTAAGGAAATCTTCTAGTGGCATAAAAGTTATATATTTATTTTCAGAAACAAAGAGAGTCAAGCAGGAATGGCAATGCAAAGTCTTCATCATCTTCAAATATAAAATAGCATTCAAACGACATAACAATCCAAACACAAATTACTTGATTCAATCGAATAAGCAATCAATCAATCCCTAAATTACAATATTCTAGCAATTAGCATGAGACTGAATCGATATGAACAACCAAAAGTGATTAGTCTTATCCCTTCACCAAATCCCAAATATCCCCAGAAGTAAAAACCGAAGCTATTCCGATAGATTCACGACGGAGGTGACTTACCTGATCAGGAAATTGACGCCGGAGATGATCGGAGAACAGACCAGAAGCCCAAAAGTTTAAATGTTCCTACTCTGCGAGATCTTCTTCTTCTTCTAGGGTTTTGGATCCCCAAAATTCATTAGAATGGCGAAACTGAAATTAAATCAGTTAAGAGGGATGCTTTCGTAATTTAGAGCTACTTGACAGGGGGTCTTTTGGTTAATTTGAAA